CATAAGTATAGGGCCCTGTGATTCAAACGGCTGCCAAAACCCCACCTCTGAACACATGAGACTTTTGGGGGGACCTTCTGCATCTAAGCTGTACACCTTGAAGGCACAAGAAGGGTGCTGGAGACACATGGTGAGTACTGTTGAATGGATACAATGCCTACTTGGACTCAGGGAGACAAACATTCATGGTGCCTAGTCTTTATTTTTCCCAGTCCTGGGAATTGAAGCTAGGCCTTTATGCATGTTAGGCAAGTACTCTGCTACTGAGCTTGCTGATACCACCAGCCCCTGATGCTGTTCATTTTTTTAAAGAGGGTAAGACAAAATGTAACAAAACAGAAAAAGCTGATTAGAAGAAAACACAAGTGACACAGATTTTATACTACAGGAGTTCAACAGTGACTACCATAGTGTCTCTTGTTTTCTTCTAAATAGCTGACTGTATCTTTACACACAGTGAGTTCATACAAAACAAAATAGTATAAAATTGATCAGAAGAGAATAATGAAGGCATTACAGGCCTTCAAAACCAGACAATAGGAAAATCAACAATGGCTACTGTAATGTCTCTTGTTCTCTTTAAGATAGCTGTTCATATCTTCATGTATGTTGAAATTAAATAATACAAAATAGACTAAAACCCACTCTAAACAAAGAATAAAAGCATTACTGGATTTCACAGCATGACGATACGGAATCAGCAATGGATGCCATGATGTCTCTTTATCTTCAGGGTAGCTGTTCATTTCATCACGCATGATACAATCGATTCTCATAAACTGTTTAGGAGAAATTCTAGGCATGTATAAGCCTCTACATGTACACCTGTCCTTTCTGCATCAGAGCGAAAAACAAAATAAAGCAAATTACTAGAAAATCAAGAAACAAAAAAGACAAATAAATAACAATAGTAAAGAGCCCAAAACAATATAGGCCTTCAAAACAAGGTGGTAGAAACATAACTAAGGTTGTTATTTTACATAGTGATCTTCAAAAGAGTTCCTCAAATTACCAGACTCAAACATACAAAATTGTTCCAATCCTGTGAATGTTAACTGTTTTGTTCCAAGAACTAACAGAATTTGTAGCCCAACCATCTTAGCTATCCTAAGTGTGTTTATACAAATTTAGATATTTTTTCTTTTCCCTTCCTTTTTTTCCCTCTTTTCCCCTGATACTATTTTTCCCCTTTGAGCAGATTCTTACCCTTTTGCCATATTTATTGAGAATTTTGTATCTTATGTACTCTTAACTTTTAGACAATGGAGTACTACTTAGCTATAAAGAATGATCACATTGATATTTATCAGCAAGTGGATGCAACTTGAGACCATACTCATAAGTGAAATAAATCAAACTCACATGAGTAAATACAGTATTGTCTCCCAAGTATAAGAAATGTTGCTACTCTTTATCATAGAAAATCCGTGTCAAAGACTAAGAAGCACTGGAAAGGGAAAGAAATTCAATATTCCCAACATGATTGACTTTTTAAATGTATGTCCTTTATTCATGTTATGTTAGAACTTCTGGTACTTCATCACAGCCCACATGCCTGGGAACACCTCTTTGTCCTGCTGTCCACTGTTGTGGTTGGAAGGAATGGCTATTCAGTCCCGTGCAACCCTTCAGCAGGAACAGAACTTGTCTGATGCAGTGGAATGATGACCACGTATGCCCAGCCCCTAACCCCTAGCCAGGCTTATTTTGTTTTCTCTGGTTTCCGTTTTACTCACAGATCTTATATCAGATTAGATGTCATGGAAAGAACAGTAACTTCCATGTGTTCGTACCCCAGCCCAGCCAGTGAAGAGCTGGGGGACCCTGAGTCAGTCATACCTCCTTGCCAGCCTTCAGTTTGGCAAGAAATCAAACTAGATCATTGCTTATTCATCTCTGCTTTCCAAACTCAACTTCCAGTTTCTCCTAAGAAATCTCCCACCTGGAAGCTTCTAGGTGGTAGCCCCTTTTCTCACTCTCTTCCAGGGACGTCTCCAGGAAACCTCAGGAAAATTACTCCTGCTTGAGTCCTGGTTGACATGAGAGAAATGTCTTGCATATATGTATTGTGGTTTGTAAAGAAGTTCATGGCTGTAAAAATACACTGTAGTTTTTCCTCCCACACATCCAAATGACATTCATGAGTATCCAGTGAAGGACCTGTCTTCCATATCAACTTTTAATAAACTCATATGTCATCATTTATTCCACAAATATTTGTTGAATATATCCTAAGCAGCCCTTTTCTAATCCCCACGAAGTTCTTACCCTCATGAGGGTGATCGTTTTGACACACGTACATCTATATATACTCAGTTAAGGAAGAAAAAGTACATTGCGTTATTATTCTTAAAAAATAGAAGTTTATCCAGGTATGGTAGTGCATTCCTATAATCCCAGCTACTTGGGAGGTTGAGACTAGAAGATTACAAGTTTGAGCCAGCCTAGGCAATTTAGTGAAATTCTGTTTCAAAATAAAAAGTAAAGGAGATGTGTAGCTCAGTGGTAGAGCACTTTTCTAGCATGAGAAAGGCTCCCTGAGTTCAACTCAAGTACTGCCCAGGAAACAGAGGGAGGAAGGTGAGGGAGAGAGGAAACAGGGAGGAGGGGACGAGCGGAGGGATGGGGGAAGAAACAGAAAAAAGAGAACACATTCTAGAGTGCGTGCTCTTTGGTTGAATGTAAGTTCTCCCTTAGAACCTTCCAAAAATATAATTCCTTTCAGTCGATTTGTGTAATTAGCTCTGAAGCATTCTTCTTTGACATGATCAGGGCAAAAGACAAGTGCTTGATTCATTAATACACAAAGAGTTAAAAGGAGTCACGGGATGCACACTTACATTGACCATTGTGTTTTTAGCATAAATATATAAATACATTGATTTTCCAATCTTTTTAATTTTAGAACAGCGCTTTTAAAAAATGTAAGTATGTTTATTTAGCATTGTGATTCTTGTTCAAAAGATTGCCATCCAATATTCATCCTCTGAAATGATTTTTTTTTTTTTGTCTTTTTCTTTTTTATCGGTACCAGGGATCAAACTCATGACCACACACTTGCAAGGCAGGCGCATATGCTGCTGAGCTAAATCGCCAGTCCCTGAAGTGATTTTTTTTTTTTTGTACTCAAAAGATAATTGTGAAGCAATCCAACAAAGAATTCTTCTCTATATTAATTCCCACCAATATTTTATATTATCTCACATCGTTTGACAGATTATCTAATCATTATAGCCAGCTCTTCATTTTCATAAAAACCTACCTGTTTATACTCACATTTCACGCAATTATTTCAGTTTGATTATGTCAGTGAAGTAAAGTTATTTCATGGGGTTTTTTGCTTATTTTTATTGTCCCTGTTGTTGATGGTGGCGGTTGTAGTGGGACTGAACCCAGGACTGAGCTGAGTCCCCAGCCCTTTTTTACATTGCTGCAAGATTTCCCGAAGTCACTCAGCCTGGGCTTGAACTTGGGACCTTCCTGTTTCAGCCCTGCAGAAAGGTAGGGTTATAGGCATGTATCCCCATGCCTGGCTTCATTTTGAGCCTATGAAAGTTAATGCTGCAAAATAACTATGCATATAAATGACCAGACTTATTAATCAGTCTTTTCAAAGCACGGGTCCAATCGTGTTACCTTTCAGCTCAAAGCTCTCCAACATCTCTCCTCGCCGAAGGAATTAAATCCTTGTACTTTGTCCTGGCATCAGGGTCCCTGTAGCAAGCCTGGCTCACATAGCTTTCATGACCCTTCTGTGTCATCCTCTATTCAGACAGACCTGGACTGCCTGTGCTACGAGTTATTTGCCTGTGTTCTCCTGTGGGACTTGGGATACTTGCACCCCCCTCATGCCTGTGTCTGTTTAAGGATTAGGTTAGACCACAGGAAACAGTCCCTGCCACCCCTGCAATACAGACTTTATTTTCCTGGATTATGGAATCCTTTTTCCCCCTCTTAGCCCAGTGTTGCCCAACTGTCTTTCCTATCAGTATCTCAATATTAATGGACACACTTTGTCTTCAGGTAGAACATTTATTAAAGAAGGTTTACACTAGCACCCCACGTGGAAAAATACCACTTGGTAAATATAAGCACACTGTAAAAATGAATTTAATAAAAATCTACAGTCTTAATACCTTATAGTCAGATAATGCTTGCCTAAGACATATGCTATCTTGGTTAAAGCACTTCAGCACTGATGGAAGTCAACAGGATTGAAGAAGGGGAAATAGACTGACTTTCTCACTGTTATAAGTAACACTATGATCATGCACTGTCTGAGATCACTGTGAATGAAGTGCGCTCCACACATGGGAAAACATTGCCTCACTCCTATGATATAAGCAACTAACGGGCAAGAAATGATTTCCACCCCTCTTTGTGGCACTCACCTTTGTAAGAATCTGAACCTCCCCTACCCCTAGGGAGCCACCCATCCAACCTGGATGCCCAGCAGCCACAGCTGTACAGGACGGGAAGAAATGACTAGCCCCTTAGGCAGCCTTTGGCAATGGATTGGTCTGTCGTGTCATTTTTGAAACATCGGGAGGATATATTTGTTAGACACATGGTCTTAGGACAAAGAATGAGCTTTTATCCTCAAATTGCATGGGGTAGAGCCTGGAGCATGTGTTTGGAAATAGGAAGACTTTTTTTTTTTACTTGCTTAATTTACACTCCTTTTTTCATGAAATTCCCTCAGGATCTAGGAGGTGGCTCTTGCACTGCTCTGTCTTAGGCAAGTTTTGGGGAAGCTGGGTAAAGCTTTGGAAATCATTGTCTTCTGCCTGGGCTACATCCCTACTTCATCTTCCCTGCCCTCTCCAGTCTTCTCAAAGGAGAGGCAAACAGCAGCCTAGAGAGGACAGCTACTCTTCCCCCCATGGCTGCCCGTCAGTGGCAGCCTCAGCAGGAATCCTGATGTGGCCTGCAGAACCCATCACAAGGCCTGGCCTGCGGCTGATTCATGTTGCTCACAGATGTTTCTCCTCTTTTTCCAGGCAGTGCTGAGCCCTCTCATAGCCATTGCGCTGAAGATATCCCAGATTCACGAGAGAACTGGCCGGAGGGGACCCACCGTCATCACCTGAATGGAGGAGATCACTCACCATGGCCAAAGAGAGCACTCAGTGGGGGACACTTCACGATGCCTTCTTGCTACCTGTTTGTGCCTCTTGTGACATTGAAAATAACAAAAGATATTTTGTTGTTGGGGAGTAGGGGTGGGTGGGAAAAGAAATCCATTTTGTTTTGCTTTTGTCCAGTTCCTCCGAATGCAACAGGGTTGGTAGTTTTCTGGGGAAGACGCACATCTGTCATTTGACATCTGTGTTTTATCACACGAAGGGGGGGCTCCCCTTTGGATAGAAAGTGGGCCAGGAAACCATGAGTCACAGCTTCTGTACATCATTGGTGCCACATCAGAAAAGGTTCAATGATTATGAGAGAGAGAGCGAGAGCAGTGTGGAATTAAGGGACCCTAAGTCACAGCAGCCCCTGAGCGGGGAGAAGACCCACCCCTGTGTCAGCTTTCCTTCCAGAGGCCTGCTTTTAGAATACCTGATAGCCCACCTCCCCCACATGGTGGCCCACGCTTCCCAATATCCCAGCATCCTGGCCCACCTCCTTTCACATCTCCAGAGCACTCTAAACCACGAGGGCATGCTTCCAACAAAACATATTACAGGGTGTTTTTCTCTTAGTTTATGAGTATTATTTTAGCTATCAATCTTGTTGCATTCCTTCAGATGCAACCAGTTTTGTGCAGGTGGGAAGGAGTTTCTTGACAAGATTCTGCAAATGAATGCTTCAGATGTGTGTAGGGGCCCTAACTTGGTTATATCACACAGGTTGCTATTGTGACTTTACATAGATTGCTCCTGAGAGGACTAAAGCACCATTGTGTGCCCTGGGTGTCTGATTCTCCGCCTAAGGGCCTGTTTTCATGTACTTGTTGGAACATGGTTCTGATCTTACTTAGAATGGTCATAAAAAGGAGAGCATGAAATGTTGTGAAAGTGGGAAATGGCAGAGGATGCTGGAAGAGAACATTACTGCAGGACAGTCATGAGCCTGGTGAGACGTAGGGAAGGGCTGCGGTGCCTCCTAGGAAGCAGAGGTCACCACGGACTCTGTTTGCTGAGGAAGGAAATGGAAATGCAGCTCAAACAGTAGGCGCATCTGTGCTCAGCCAGAATGCTGGGGCATGGGACCTGTTTGCGTGTGTTTGCTTCCTTGGGAACAGCACAGTCTGTCATCCTGCCATTCGCCGAGATGACCTAGTACACTCTGCCTGTTAAGCAATGTATTGTGGCTGTAGTCAAGGTTAGCGCAAGTGAGGAAACATGCCTGGGAAGGTAATTGTTTCCATTTGCTATCTGTGCTTCTGTCAAAAACTTGCTAGGACGTTTAGTAGTCAATAAGAAAGAAATTCCTTACTTTAACCTGATCAAGGACTGTAGATTTCAATGCATTCATTTCACCATTTGAGAAACTCTGGTAGTGACCACGCTTCTGATAAATGTGTCTTTTGGAATACTTACAAGGACTGTTTTTCCTGATTATCACTTGGGGAATTGGGGAAATATATGGAACAGAAAAATTGAATTGCTTAGGATTGCCTGTGGGAATCAGCAGTAACAAAAAGCATCTAGACATTCATTGTAACAGTCTTTATTTTGAAATAATAAGAAGGTGACTCTGACTCGAGATTTAAAGAACCAATTATGAAATGTATCACCAGTGGAATAAAAATTTGCCTTGTACCTTTGATGATTTTTATTTCTTAAGTAAAGGTCCCTGACAACCATCCATCTTTCTATTGCCCATAGATGTGTTATTCGGAAAATAACATATTCTCTGGTGTATCAGCACTAGGTAAAAAAATACCTGCAAGTTTCCAAACTTTTTAACCATCCCTAACAGTTAAGTTCAAGTGTAAATCATTCTTTACTTAACATTCTGTTGCCTTATTTCACTGTGGAGTCACATGGACCCAATAGCTCCCATATATATTCACCCACCAATTCACACACTCATCCATTTATTCAGTAAACACTGACTGAGCTACTGCTCCACTGAGAAATCTGCTAATTCAGCTGGGGTTGAAGCAGACACGGGCTCATGAAAGTCAGGTGGAGTAAAGCTGTCCATTCAGTTGTTTTTCCAGAGCCTTTTCAAGAGGAGGGGGAAACAGAGAGAGAGAGAGAGAGAGAGAGAGAGAGAGAGAGAGAGAGAGAGAGAGAGAGAGAGAGAGCACGCACACAGAAAGATCATTTTGTGGTTGTAGGACACAGCTTTCTCTGGGATGTGTTCAAGTTCATATTGCCTGGCTGTTATTTCTGCCTTACATAGCCACGTTCCTGTGCTCAACTTTACATGTACATCCTCTCATCTCTTCTCTGGGGAGGTGAGAACCAGGAAGCCACTCTTCCCCACATAATATTCTGAATGGTCTTAAAAATGCAATTTCAGCCACCAGTCTTGGAAAGTAAATGATTTGAAGGGTCCAAGAATTTTGAAGAGATCACAAGAATCAATCACAGAACTAACAGAGTATGGTAACTCTCAGGGCCACTCTGGTGATCTAAACCGAGCGGTTTGTTTACTGCTGTCTGCACCTCCTGAATAATACAAGCCACAGTTGCATAGTGGAACAGTGGTTCTCAACCAGGGCAGCACCCTCACCCTCAGGGGGGCTTGGAAATTGTGTGTGTGTGCGTGTGAACTCGTATGTGAATGTGCGCCAGGGAGGCATTTAGTGGGATAAGACTGAAAATGCTAAATGCCTTGGTAGGTGTCATTTTGCTTCACTTAGGATTCTATCCTTAAAATGTTGGTGGCCGTCATCACAATGACATCACTTATGAAATGATCCAGGGTACATTGTGCATCCACAGTGTACAGTTCCAGGGACAGTTTTGCATGACATTATAGGCTAAAGAACGTGGAGGTGACAAGAATATTTTCTGCACAGGAAGCCTCAGATTGATGCAGAGCCCCGTGGTGGCCCTGTTTGCACTGAGCCACAACAAGGATAATGATATGATAACTTCTAACTGGCCACCCGTGGGTCAGTTTAAGGCATGAGCTCCATTAGCTATGGCAGGCATGGGGATTGAAAAGCACTTGTGGGAACTGGTAAGGACATAGCCAGATGATTCTGGGCCATTGCTGGATCATGTATCAAGTCCTCTCCGGTGAAGCCTAAAATCCCAGCCATGAGCCCCAAGGAGATTTCTATTCCTGCTCGTAGAAGGGTCTGAGAAACTGCTTTGAGAAGTGATGTAACTGCTAGTCAATCAGTGCTGAGCTCTTCAACAGTCATGAACAAGAGATTATCTGTGGCAGCGGAGGGTAGCGAAGGCCTGCCGCACTCTAACCTGGCTTCCTTACTAGGAGAAATAGCTCATGCAGCTGACAGCCTAGTCAGTGCCACCTACGGCACACGTGTTATTTGCTTTTCCTTTAAGACAAAAGATGTTAATATATGAGTTGGTTTTTTTCTACAGTAAAATCTCAATGTTTAGGTTTAATTTCAGTAGTGGCACTTTGTGATATAGTTGGGGTTGAAGTTTGGGCACTCACCTCTAAAAGGTTTGCCATCACTGGCCTGTGTTATCAAGGAACTTTATAGAATACAGTGAAGATGTGGAGTATTAGTCTTTATCATCTCCCCTTTTAGTATCTAACCTTTTCCCTGCAAGTAGTTGAACAGTATAGTTAAGTAAAATCTTGAAGTAAAAAACTCTTGTGAGTTTACTGCATGGAGGAGTAAAAAATAAAATGAGCACAGAACATATCAAATATACAAAAGATACTACATAGTTTATTGCATATTGATCTTGTCATCCTCACCCTTGGAGTAGCAGAGATGATTATTTAAACTTGTTGCTCAAAGGAACATCATGAGATTATGGGAGTGCAGGACCAATAGCTTTACAAACTTCATTTCTCCACTGCTATGTTAGCCTACAACTCACTCCTGAGAGCAAGAATAGGCTGAGATTTTCTCAGAGGAGACTTGCCTCATTCCATTTGCTTATACTTTCCAGCATTCGTGGAATTGTGCTTCTCAGTCTATCACCATTGATCATATACTTTGAGAAGGAAGGGAGATAACACTATTTCCCCTAAGTGAATCTTCCAGGGATAATCCACGTACTATTACCTACCACAATAGAACACTTTTGTTTGACTTGTGTGATGGATTTTAATTGGTTGACCTCTCAAATATAGGATTTGCTTCAGTTAATACCATGTTCATGATGCAAATTTGGAGTGCATATATTTTAAAAATTAGTAATGTCCTATTAGTATTTCTTTTCAAAAAGAAGCACTTACCTTCTGAATCTTAAGCTGGTATTGAATAATGTTTGGGTTTGCAGAAAGATGAACTCGTCTTGTTACTGTGCTAGTTTCACATGGAAAATGATACTTGGACTTATGTTCCCTTAATGATTTTTCCAATATGAAAAAAAGGCAAAAAAGAAGGATTGAGTACAAAATGTATTAGGATAAAGAAATTAAAATAATTTCTTATGTAAACCAAAATTAACATCTGTTCCCCTTGGCTCCCAGTAGTTGGAAAATCTCTCTGTTACACATATAAACTCTGGGTGAAAGCCAGCTCAGTAAATGTGCTTCAGACTCCCAGGCAGATTTTTCTTGATAGAGGGATGAGAAGAGATGACAGTACAGGAATAATAAATTACATTGCTAATAAATGATCATTTTGCTATTGGACAACCACAAGTGATCTTTGTATGTCGAAATCTTCTCATGGTTAAAGATCCAAATTGGGTTCCTAAACTCATACTTTATGGAAGAATTTCATCTAATGAAGCTTCCTGGGAATTTTTCAGAATACATTCAACTTTGTGCACTTGGAAATGACAGAGATGAGGGGACCATGGAGACCTGTCCCATCTTGATGACCCTCTTCCTTGAAAGATGCCATAATTCCCCCAGTTATTGGGAGCTTCTCTTGTGCTGGTCACCATGGCTATCACCCATTACTGTATTCCTTATCATCAGATCAATGACCAGAGGAGGAAGATGAGGCCCTGGCTCCCAGACAGAAAACATAGCAGGCATATTTACATTTTAAAATATTTTTATTCTTGTATGTTTGTGATATATAATAAATATATGTGTCTTGGGTTACTGGTATAATATATATATTGCTTCTTGGTCATTTTCACTTCATATTTACATTTTAAGTCAAGCAGTCCCTTAACTCTGAAGCTCTGCTGCCTCCCAAAGGGTTTAAAGGTATTTTAGTGACCCTAGAGCTCCACTTTGCCTTAGGACTCATTTTCTGAATTGGAAAGAGAAATCCAAACTGCCTCCTGCAAGGAAGGAGGGAAGTAAAAAGGGATAGCTTAGCACAAAAGTTTGAAGTCATAGGCCTTCCCACATCCCTCTGTGAACTCTTCTTCACCCTGATTCCTGGAAGATCCCATGCTTTCCTGGGAAAGTTTCCTCCCTTCCCAAAGCCTCAGTTTTATGCCTCTGCAACGTGGGAATAAGCATTGCGCATATCTCTCCAAGATGGATAAGGGGCTTGGTCACATGAGTGAGCTCACAGCACAGAGTCAGTCTTAAAAAAGGCTTGCCCTAACTTAGCTAGCACTCTCTGAATAAACAGCTCCCTGACGGAGAGGGAATGGAGCCCCTGGCAGATGAGTCCCCTTATCCAAGTCTAAAAGCGCCAGGTTGAGCATCTTCCAAACACTCTGATTTGTCCTCTTGCATAAAAATACTATACAATGTAAAGAAACTGAGGAGGAACCCGATATTTAAAAACAGATGACACTGGGCATTAAAAATAATGTTCCCAATCTAGAAGTTAAAAGCTCTATTTTGAGAACCCAAGAGATTTCCTAGAACACTGAATGCATATCATTAGAATGCTCATTTTTCAAATCCTGGAGATTTACATGGAGATTCTGTGTATTACGTATCAATATTTTTAAGACTTCATATGATTTATGTCAAGTTGTGTATTAAAGTTATCTTTATGCAAGTTAATGCAAGTTCCACTTCACTCTGAATTGTTATGAACTAACTACTTTGTCTATTCTATTCTAACCTATAAGAAACCTTGTATGTGCTTGTATGAGGACCTCTTTTAAAAATAACTCACTGAATATTTGTGTTTGCATCATTTTGGAAGCAAGCAATGATGTTTCCTTTCATACTAGACAAAAAACCACAACATTATTACAATAAAATAGTACAAAATAGAACTTATGTGTTCCAAGAGCATATCTCTCCCAATATGAATTACTGCATTGCTCTGGTAATGTGATTGATGCCGGGAATCATGAAGCCAGCTCACAAAAGGCTGAGCAACAAATTAAATGACAATGACCTTTCCTTCCCAGGACCCTTCACTCTGTGATTGTCAGGTAAAGCAGTGCGTGGAGGTCGTGGCTGTCCCAGCAAGCTCTACGCATTCCTTCCTGCTGGGAGCTGAGTCGGACAGAAAGCCTCCCAGAGGACAGAGCCTTCCTGGATGCCACTTTCGTGGTCCCAAAACTCCTCTGGCTCAGAATTAGCGGGAATCCTCTAAAATGTCTGCTTGGTGCTGGCCTTGCCTCGCCAGGGCCCCTGTGCTGCCCATGCACGGGGAAGCAGGTCTGTGGAACTGTGTGGCTGTTCCGTACAGCTCTAATGAGCAGCTGAGCCCCCCAGGAGTGCATCCTGTGTGCTGGAGAGCTTGCCCTGCAGTCAGCTCCGGGTGTGGTCTTGCACCTTCTGAAGTCACTGCAGCTGCTAAATCTGTCACAGAGTCTCGGTAGGAAGGTGGAGCCTCTGGGTGGACTTCACATCTGTCCTTGAGCTCAAGGCCCATCTCTGTGTACAGAGGTGGAGGAATACCCAAGGCCTCTCCCCCTGCAGCATGTGCCCATTTCTCAGCATCAAGGCTCTCTTCGTAAGCTGGAGGGTAAAAGTCTGGCCTATAAGATAAAAAGTCAGAGATGCACATGTATTATTTCAGCATTTATGTCAAAGAGGCTTTTTGCCTGCTTCTCTCAATTCACACTGTGTAAAGTTAAACTAAGAAACATTATGCATTGATTTTTTTTAACCAACTGGACTTCTTTTCTGACATCACAAGGTTTAAAAAATAAAAAAAAAAAAAAACCAGTGCCCTACTAGAAGACCCCCTTTACCTGCAATGGTGTACATGTGTTTAATATTTTTATTTTCATACATGCCTCTAGGGATATTTTTTCCAACAGGGTACTCAGGTCATTCCTTCTTGCTTATTCAGTGACAGTAACAGAACCATTCGGTGTGAGATCCTTGTCAGCGGGGAGAACACAGGGGCTCTGCCCGGAGCCCCTCTCTAGCCCATACTTAGCCCGTTCATGTCCTTGTTCCCCAAACAAGCATCATTTTCCACTCACTGCAATAACTACCTCGGACTTTCACAGTCAACAAAACAATTGATGAAAACCAGCTATATGCAGGTCCCTGAAACTGTACAAGATGCCACACTGCTTTTATCCTAAAACCCTGTCAAGTCTCATCAGCTGGTTTCTAAAGAAAGCATGTAAACACCCTCCCTTATCAAACCATTTCCACTGACAGCTTGATAGAGACTTCAGCTGCAGGTTTTCTGTGCCAACAGGACCATGGCTCAAGAAGCCATTCACACCAGGGCTGATGTACTCATTGGTCATCTTGCCCAACGTTGCTAATTGCTAAATCCTTCTGGCTTCTCCATGATGAATGGGGTTGGCGGTAGGGTGGGCATGGGCAGCAAAACCAGGGAGGGGAGCTTGGTTGGGATGAGTATTTATAGATCAAGCTGGTCCATTGCCTCCAGGGAGTGTTTACAGTGTGTAACCACAACATGATAGGGACTGCCATTTGTGGCCACAGCTCCTTTCCAAATGTCACCGGGTTCAAAGCCAAATAGCCAAAGGAGATGTCTACTGTACAGCATAAATCTCAGCCTTCACTCAGAGCATCCAAGGCTGCGTCATGGGACTTGTGTATAAAGGCTGCCTGGGACAGGAAGGTGAGCTGTTTGTTCCCTAGAGAACTTGGAGAGGTTCCAGGATGACTGCTGCCAGCCCCAAGAATGCCAGACCTCTGTCAATCTCACCTTCCTCACCCACCCACTGCAATTCCCATTCCCAGGCCACTGAGTCCTGCCTTTGGAGAATCATCTGCTTTGGCATCTCTACCTGGCTACCTATTTGAGTGCAAAGCTTCTGAGGATATAACTTTCTGTTTGACTTGTTGGCCATTCTGAGAGGCTGAGAATCTAAGAATGCAACAGAAGAGGCAGTAAAATGGGTGTCGTGATATCCAGATATTCTGGTATGGACAATGTAATATTATGCATGTGTTAATAAACTGAAGCTACATCCTAAAGGCACTTAGTTATTCTTGTCAGCTAACATTTACCCAAAAAATAGAAATCATCATTTGAGATGCATCTTTTATAATCACTTGTGTTATCTTATTATTTTTTTTGTCAAACCCAGAGACCTTGCTGGTTTCTCCAATAAACATAGGAAATGGGTTTGGGTTGTTGTAATAATGGCTGTCCAAAATGTACCCTCATGGGTCAGATAATTTGTTCAAGATAAACTGAATAGGAAAAACATTTTAGGTACTCCTACCCCTGAGTGATGAGGACTCTCACAGGCTGTCCCTTAAGTGTGATCCTGAGATTTTTATCTAAGTGGTCCTGTATACAGCCAAAAATTAGAAGGTTTATGGCCAGCTAACCCAAAAGGTTAACTGAGTCTTTTTTTTTTCTTGTGGTAATATTAGTCCTACGGCAGAGCCATATATATATATATATATATATATATATATATATATATAAAATATTTTACATATAATAAATTATACTGATTTTAAGTGTACACTGAGTCATATTATGTACTTATATGATTGTACAACCATCACTGAAACTTCTCCATCACCCTAAATTACACATAATCATTAGATAATAATGTCCCATTCTCCACCCCCCATCCCCTACCCCTGGCCTGGGAACCACTGTCCTGCTTTCTCTGGGAATTTGACTGCTGTAGGTATTTGAAATAGACAGAATTATACCGTATTTGTCTTTTACAACCGTCTACTTTCATTAAGCATATATTTTTCAGGACTCATCCACGATTTCATTCCTTTTATGGCTGAATAATACTCCATGGGTTGTGTATACCACAGTTTGCGTATCTGTTCATTGTTAATCAGCATTGGGATTGTTTCTATCTTTTCATTCTTGTTTTTGAACAATGCTGCATGAACATTGTTGGGTAAGTATCTGTTTCAGGTCCTGCTTTCAATTCTTTTATGAATACACCTAGAACAGAATTGCTGGATCAAATGGTAATTCTATGTTGAATACTTCACAGGCAACATCATATTACATTCCTACCAAACCTGCATCGTGGCACCAATGTCTTCCACCCTTTCCCACACTTGTTTTAATTTGAAAATAACTGGCCCAACATGTGAGGTTAACGAAATCTTACCTTTAGGCTCTGATCATTTTGCCCTGAATGACTCTTGCAGACAAGGTGAGATCGGACACCTAAGAGAACAGTAGCCGGAACTTCCCCGAGTCAGAGAAGTCCCAGGACTGATTTTGTGTTCGCATGCTCATCGGTTCTGTGGCAGAATTTGGTCTGGGATTTGTTTGCCTTATAATTTGGTAACCAGGTTATAGGGAACAATTGAACATCACCTGCCTCTGACTGAGGACAGCCTCAGGGGTACAACAGAAGAACCTGGAGCCTGAGCTGCTTAAATTAGTTTTAGAGATTGTTCAGGAGTGGCACTGAGGGTGGTGGTGCTTCTTTAAGAAAATTCCCCTTTCCTCAAGGCTTTTCCCCAAAGGCAGCACCACATTTCCCTGATGACTAGGCCCAAGGTCACTGCCCAAAAATAGAGCTGCGATTCTGAACATACAGCTCCAGGGGCCATGTAAGTCGCTCCACCCTAGGATTAAAAATCACTCAGCTTCCGCACAACCCATCTCTTGTCATTTCCTCTGGCTCTTGGCACCTACCTGTCCACTGTGGCCAGGGGCGGGTCCCTGTGAACAAGGTGCTGTCTGAGCACATGACTGAACACGCCTTTGCTTTTGCTTGCTTGCTGGTAGGTGCTCCAGAAAATCCCACTCAGAAGCATCCCAAACCCCAGAGGCAGGAGCAAGTACGCCAGGACCAAGTTCTTCTGACAGTGGACTACGGAGTCTGAGGAAACGAAGAAGGCTCCCAGGCAGATCATCAGGAAACCCATCAGGAGGGTCAGAGCACAGAGAACTAGGCTAGTTTTGTTCTGCATCCCTGCGCCCCAGGATCTCAGCAGCCCAACCTTGCCACCCCTCCACTTCCAGGCTGGCTCAAGCAGAGTCCACTCATTAGCTGACTGGCAGCTTTATACACTGGGCCCAGCTGGCCTTTGAACAATTAAACGAGGCAGGAACTGAGAAGCTACTCATTAACCCCTAAAAGTTACTGAGACATCCTGGGAGGGTGAACTCAAAACATCACACTGTGTACTCCAGGAAGAGATGGCTACATGTAACCTAGCACGCTTAGGGTAGATGGTCACACCGCCAATAGCTCACAGGTATGTGAAGAAAAGTCCACATCTTTTTGACTCAGAAGGCATTGATCTCTGAACCACAAGATCCTCCCGCCCAACCAAGGGTAATTCCTCACTAGGGAAATCAGCATTCCTTATGAACTTCTTTGTGAAGTGGCAAAGACTCCTCTCCCAGTTTAATTTTTTCACTTTGCATTGCAAAGGATTTCTTCTTCTCTCTTTAGCATCTTGTCTTCTCTACCTCAAAAAAAAAAAAAAAAAAAAAAATCCCCACCCCCCACCACCTCTGTCACCAACACACTTGCATTCTGAAAAAACACTAAGGAAAAAGTTCAGGATGTAAATGCTTGAATGCTTTTCTGCTGACAAGAAGAGTTTTACAGGAGAAGGAGAGTGCTTTTGAGGACAGTAAGCCACGGAGCCTTGAGAATCTGGAGGGGTTCCTGAGATGGTTGTGAAGGAGGACACTTTGGCAGCTTACAGTTCTGAATCCTTACTCCCATTGGGGCCAGTCCATGGTGACTTCTGCTAACACTTACAGGTTTGATGCATAGTTTTTGTGTATTGTCCAAGCACTGGCCACAATTCCTGGCTCACCACAAATGTACAAACTTGCTCTCAAATAAGGCCATCAGCACTGGAGATAAGAATATTTCCCAAAGAGTGTCCATGTTACCACTTCCATGCAAAACAAATAAATACATTGTTAGAAAGCTGTCTATTGCTTCCCCACCCCGCCTGTCACACACCCGTTGTAGAGTTTCCCACAGCACACTAGCATATAAAATGCTCCAAAAATTCCTGCAATTACTCTTTCCAAGACACATATTAAAGGAAATTTATTTTAGTAGATGCTGCTAAAGGATTTTTATCTTTTCTCTCCCTCACATCTTTGTTGTATTGTAGCATTCACTGTGTTAAAAAAAAAAAAAAATCCCGAAACCAGCCTTCTTTTTTCTGTCTGGAATTTTGTGACTTCTTGTGAATACCTTATTCCAGACCAGGTTTATGCCCTGATTCCCCCCTCATCTTTTTTTTTTTTTTTAATTTGAAGCTTTGGCATATCCGTGCCAAAAGTGTCCTTCCAAGAAGGACCCTGAGTCATACATGCTCAGAGAAGTTATCTTCAATTTCTCTTTGCTTCTCCTCTCCCCTTCACTCAACCACCATCGTTTTCCGTGCGCTTTCCTAGTGGGAAAGCATTGTGCAACGCTCTGGTGTCGCCATGAGTTCTCTCGAGCCATGAGTTCTCTTGAGCCTCCCTTTCATCATCTTCTTACTCCCAGATTCACACTGGGGCTAGCAATGAGGGGAAGTCACTATGGATTAAAAGTGATAGGAGGATATCAGATACATCCACATCCCACTTAATACAAAGTACCTCGGTTCACGAACTTAGTTTATTCCACAATTCTTGTCACATTTGTGTTTGTGAAGGAAACACGGCAGCAGTCATGTTCCTCACCCAATGCAAAGTCCTCAAACAAAAACAAAATTTTCCCAAACGCTTCTATCTGCAAACCAAATGGTTTATGAGCAAGTATTCAAAGCATTTGTGAACTGAGGTACCACTGAGCTTATTAGTTTCAAATTTCAACCGTGGATTACTCCCATTTTCTATTATCTTTACTGTCCTAAAACAACTTTTCCTCCTTCCTTCTTTACTCGATCTTCAAGTAATTGGTTTTCTCAGATGATTCCTACCTCCTGGTGTCCATATCCACATCTGAGTGATTCCTTCCCCTTGAACGTGGGTTAAACCTTGTGACTTGATTCTAACCAATAGAATATGGCAAAGAAGATACCATGTCACTTTCGTGATTAGATTACAATAAATTATAACCTCCATCTTGCCAGTTGTGAGTTTCTTATTGTCTTCTTGGCTTGTGCCCTTAGAAGAAAGAGGCTGCTGTATTGGAGATGCCCATTTGGCAAGGAACTGGAGGGAGCTTATGGACAGCAGTCTGAAAAACAGAGGCCATTTGTCCATAAGCCCATGTGGAACTGTGTCCTGGAACCAAGTACATGAACTGGGGACCATGAACTGGGGACTCCATGCCCAGCTGAGCCTTGAGATGAACCCCACAAGCAACTCTTTCATTGAAAAACAGAGGACCCACTTAAATCATGCTTAGATTTCTGAGCCACTATCTTAGTTATTTTTATTATGGCTGAGACAAGATACCCAATACTTACAAGTAAAAGGAGGAAAGGTTTAATGCAGTTCACAGTTTGTAGAGATTTCAGTCCATAGGCAGACTCCAAGGCAAGGCAGCATAGCACAGGGTCATCACAGAAGCGAAACAATTCATGGTGTGGCAGGCAGCAAGCAGCAGCAGCTCTGACAGCAGCAGCCTGCCTTCTTTCTGTTCCTTGATAGTCCATCCAGACTACAAACCTGTTAATTAGTGCCACCCAAGCTCAAGGCAGGGTTTCCATTATCCATACCCTTAACCCCAGTATCCCACCTTTAATCCACATTCACTCACTATACCCCGCCACCTTCCAAACTCCCCATCTGTGAATGCTGCACTGGGGGTATTTGAGTTTATTTGTGGTGCGATTGGGAACCAAGAGGGAAAGTATAGGAAAATCCGTAGTATATGATGGAAATAGGAAAAGGAAAAAACTGAAGTGTAACTGGGAGCTATGTGTGTCCTTCATGAAGTAATAAACCCTGGGGACTCAGAATATATCTAGAGATAGAGAGCTTGTCTGGAGTGCTGGGTTCCATCCCCAACACCAAAGAGAATGAAGGAAGGGAGGAAGGCAGGAACAAAAGAGAAAATATGAGGGAAAGAAGGAAGAAAGGAATGAAAGAAGGAAGAAAGAAAAAAGGAAAGAAACAGAAATACAGACAGAAAGGTAGGTAATGTTGGGGTTATTTGTGTGTTTGTCTTTATTACTATTAAGTATATGTTACTACATATGTTATTTTTACCATGGCTCTGTTTCAGTTATGAGCCATATGGGATCATTTTGATATAAACATTATTTCCATTTTGATGCCTCAAAAATTATCAAGACTCACTAAAACCAATAACTTACTCTTTAAACAATTGTTACTATTGTTATGACGTGGAGTTTTCCTTCTATTTGTAACATGTACGCTCTTTTTACCCAGAGTCATTTTTAAGAAAGAAAGTTAATATATGCTTGCTTTAATGATGCTGAAATGTCTCATACACGAAGAGGCAGCACCCTGTTCTCTGAGCATCTGAAAGGAGTAGAAGGTCAATCAGAACAGCTGTAATGACAAAAGAGAAAAGAAGCAAGAGAACCAGAGCTGGGGGGAAATAAAAACAATTCAGGAAAGAATCAGACACTCCGAAGTCACCTTAAAGGGTCAGTTTCAGGAACTCCCTGGCCCTGTGGGTGAGCTTTCTGAGGTTCCTCCAGCTTCCGGATCTGCCTTCTCTCCTAGGCCAGCTCTCCTTGCCAACCTGTAGCACTGATTGTGGAGTAAAGGTGTGGAGACTGCAGGGGAAAGGGACAGCTATCCACTATGCGCACATAAACAGCATGGTACTGGCAGCAAAGGGGGTACTCGAGAAAAGAATTGTAAAGACCCAGGGGAAGCCACCCCCAACTCATCAACCCTGTTCCCATCCTCTCCACAAGAGATCCAGTGAGGAAATGATGCCTTACTTTTAAATCAGTCTATTTCTTCTTAAAACTTTACCAATCAACAAAACTTTCTGCCTTTTCAATAGGCAAATGTTTAGTTGCCAACTGGGGAAAACATTTAGTTGTCAGCCAAATGTCTGAGAAAATCAAGACTCTCCCATTCTCTGTTCCCATGAGCATGGCAGATTCATGAGCGTCGTTGTAAACATCATGTGTGGTCAAGTTGCCGGCACTGTTTGGCCTTCCTGTCTACCTCAGAGCTCTGAAACTCACTCTGTTCTCAAATCTCCAGGCCACACATAAATGCTTCGGAACACCACAGCCCTCTGTGCTCCAATTTCTGTCTCCTAGACATGTGATCCTTCTCCTTGAAAGCGGCAAGGGCATTTGCCTCCAAGTAAGATGCCTGTGGGGATTTTGGAAGAAAGTTAATGGTGTATAGAAGCTATAACACAGAAGACACCAGGCCAAAAGACGAGGCAGAGCAGCAGATTTCAGAAGTTCGCTTTGGTTCAGGAAGCAAGCTCGTGGGGGTGGATGGGGAGGTGAGCATTTCATAACCAGAGATGTTGCCCTGTATGACTGAGTGATTTCTGGATTAGCCTTTCACACTTGAGGGTTCACTGAGCACGGGCCACTTCCTCCTTCTTGTTTTCCTTGCTTCTGAATCTTTTCCCCCACCACCTCTCTTGCCCTCCCCATCAGAAGATTTGAATGAAGGGATTTCTCGGGTTGGCAAAGGGCAAACAGCTCCTCAGAAAGTGCAGATTCTGGGTAAAGGTGAGGTTGCTACTCTGCAGTGAGCCCTATAGGTCTCCAGGATAGAGGAATTGAGCCAAGCCAGAATGGGGTGGGGGCCTTAGGCATTTGCTCAAGATATGAAATCTGTGGATGAGAGGAGTAGCCAACACTTAGTAATCAAGAAAAATCTTAGTATATTTCAGCAGGGTCTTTTTAAAACATCAAACTGGTAGACTATGGCTCCTAGACCAGTAGCTTGTTTCTATTAAGTAAAGTGTTTGTCAGGAAATTGGGTCACGTCTGCGGACCTAACAAGAAAACAAATTCAATTGCAGTGAGAGCTCACCTTCTAATTTAATCCACGAATAAGCCAGAGTATATTTCATTTCATCGAGGATCCTTGGAAAATTGAAAAGAGAACACATTTCTTTGGGTACTGTGGAGCAAAACAGAACCTCCAAGAAAGGGCAGAATTTGACAGCTTGGTTTTTACCAAGAAGCCTAAATGCCAGTGATTTGTAAATATGAAGTAGGTTCTGTGTCCTGGTTCATGACATTTTCTTTAATATTGCTTCTTATTTTTCCTCCTCCCATGTCCAAGTTTTAAACACTCGTGAGTACCTTAACTCATAACAAAATTTTTGTGTTCATCAAGAATTTGTTAGAATTCAATCATAAAACCACTGGATTCATGATTTTTTTGTCTTTTCTTTTGGAAGAATATTTTGTAATTGATTATTTAGTGCTAAGTACTAGTGGAGAAAATTAGAGATTGGGATAAATACTATATATACCAGGACTGGATGTGGGTATACTTCTTTAACTGCCCATCTACTAGCAAAAGAGAGTGAGTGAATCCAATCAAGATTTG